ATGATGTTCATAAAAGTTAAAAGACAAAACATATTTATTGCTTTCAAAAAAAAATTCAAAATTAGTGGAAAAAATTGTAAAAAATCGCATTTTTTATAATTTCAGAAATTATTTATTTGTGTGGCCATTTTGGCTTTTGGAGTTTTTGCGGATGTTCCCGATCTTCTAGAAACTGAAGAAGCTGAACAAGTTCATAACAGAGACAAAAGATCACCATTCTTTCTAGGCGGTTCAGGTGGATCAGGTGGCTTTCAACTTCCATCATTTGGAAATCATCCATTCCTCTCTGGATTACATGGAAAATCTTCATCAGGCTCTTCATCATCAGGCTCATTATCATCAAGTAATTCTGGATCAGTGTCAAATCAATATCTACCACCACCTCAACCTCTTCCATGCGGTGGCTCAACAGCTGTAGCATTACCATGTGGATCACCTTGTAGTCAACCATGTGCTCAGCCATTACCACCACCCCCACCTCAAATTCAACAATGTCCAATCTGTCCACCGTAAGTATTTCGTTTTGATGACACTCGAATGTAATTCAAAGTTATATTGCTGGTCTCTTTCAAAACAGCATACATAAAAAAAAATCATTTTTATTATTTTTTCTTTCTAGTCCTCAACCTCCAGTGCAGTGTCCACCACCACCAAGGTGTCCATTCCCACCACCCTGCCCACCGTTAGTAGCAATTTGTTATATTTTTCTTTTAAAAAGAAAATCAAAAAAACTTAAAAATTATTTTACAGACCACCACCACCAATTCAGTGCCCAAGCTGTCCATCATGCCCAGCACCTCAACCATACATCCCACCTCCACCACCTCCATGCGGATGTTCTGGCTCGGGATCAGCTTCAGCAGGATCTGGTTACAATTATCCACGACCAAGCTACTTCAAAAAGTAGAAATTTAGTGTAAAAAGAACTCAAAAATGACAAATTTTATGATTTTGTAAATTTTTAAATGTAAAAAGTCAACAATTTAAAAAGATCTATAAATTATAATTTTTAATAATTTAAAATTTAAAAAGAACTTTTTTTTCTTAATCGGATTCTTCTTTTTCTTAATTTATTCAGGTTTGTTTTGAGATTTTCGTTTTATGCTCTTGATAATAGTTTTGAGTATGTAGCATACGATGAAGAAACCATGGCTGAGAACAAAAAAGATTTTGAAACATTACAATCTAAAATCGAAACAATATAATGAAAAGTTTGAAACTATTTTTAGAATAAGGCAGGTCTTTAAATAGCATTATGTTGATGGATCATAATAAAAATAATAATAATAATAAAGTGAAAAATTATATAATATTTTGCTAAAGACATTCCTTTATACTGCATCTAAAAGATGACAGAAAAATACAAAAAAATCTTGAAAATTTTTATCACAAACTGCAAATAAAAAAAAAATTAAATAAACACAGCTTCAAATTTATTTTTGTTAAAAACTAATTCAATGTAGGAAATATTTATTATTTGTAAACGATTGGTAAAGCATGAAGATCATGAGCAATATGTCAGTAAGTCTATTTATATTTAACTATTACCTCACAGATCTATTTGCTTGATAACTTCCAGTGTCAACATTTAATTATTACCTTCCATGGCTCTTGATTTGTGAATACTTAATTTTATTTGAATGAAGCTTTAAACGTGATTTTTGGTATGTGAAATATTTGACAATTTTTTTTTTGTTTACTTTTCAAATCATTTGCTTTACTTGATTGCTTGAAAGTCGGCAGAGTTGATCAAATAATCTATTCTTATAAGTTTTTTTAAGATTTATTCGTGTAATAATTGAACAGTGAACATCCGTGTATATTTATCGATTTTTGTCAATGATTTTTTAAGAATATGAAAAGTTAACATTTTTCTTTAATTCTTTCGACTATCCCGAGTAGCTCAAGTCGGATAATCGAGATGAAATCCTGCGCTAGGACGACGTGGTTACGATCTAAGGGCGAATTTCTCGTCATGACGAAAGTCGCCGTGATATCTTCCTTGCGTAGGATTTCGTCTCGATTATCCGACTTGTGCTCTCCGGGTATGATTAGTTTTTTTGATCATTGGCCTCATTTATTGCTAATTTTAAATCAATAGTTACAAAAATTAACATAAAGGTTTTTATAATTATCAGTAATTTTCACACTTTGCTGACGACGAGTTTGTTAACTTGAACTTAAAAAAAACTTATAAAGCTTCGAAAATCATAAATTTTATAAAAAAGTTTTAAAATTTACCAATAAATATTGAACTAGAAAATTGGCATCAATATAATTATAATTAATATTTTAAAAATCAGAACCGAAATTTGTTTTCAGAACAAAAATATCATTGACCATGGAGATGTTTAACAGAATATTTTATGAATATTAATTTAATGGCCTTCAAAATGGAAAGTAAAAAATCCTCTTCATAGCAGTAAATAAAGCAATAGAAATATTTTAATTTAAATAAAGTTTATAACCAATCCTTATAAATAAAATTAATTAGAAAACACATTTTTGCATCAACTTATTAACAAGAATTATTTTAAGAATAGTGAGCTGAAGTGGCTCGGTGGCGGAATGGTTTAGTACTTCGGTACCTAATTATTGCAATACCGACACAGCGATCATGGGTTCGAGACTGGGTATGGGAAATTTTTCACTTGTTCTTTTTCGAATCATATGTACTGGAAATGAGGCTCACAGCCTTCCTTTGTAGGCTACAGACAGAAATGTCATCAAAGGAGTGGTTCGGATCCCACTATAAATTGTAGGTCTAGGTTTGAGTGCAGTGGTTTGGCGCATCCTCACTCGTTAAACTCTCATTAGCTGCGAATCGCCCTAGCGCACCTCTGGATCACAATTGATCTGAATAGGTAAAGGTTTTTTTTTTTTTTTTTTTTTTTATTTTAAGAATTAATTTTTCTTTCAAATTTAAATTAAGTTTTGTGTTCAAGATATTTTGTACGGGTGCCACCGTTATCAAAGTTTAAATTTGATTCCTATTTTGTAAATAACTGTAATACGAAAATAATCGTAAATTTTTGCATGGCTTCTCAAACCCTCTCAAACTCGGACCCCCTTTAGCCCACAAAAATTTTATAAATGGTTCTACAAAACTTCCGTGGCTTTACAACACCCCTTCGAATTTGAACCTACCTTACTCCACACATGACACCCATATCCACTTTACACCCACTTTGTCAACACTCCCGAAATTTTTGATTTCACACGACTTCACAAATGCTTCACATGGCCTTTGTTCTAGAATCAGGGATAAAATTGGGTGTTTATATTATAGATGAAACATTAGACAACATGTCATCGAATTCGAAAATATTCGTAGTAACATAAATTCATTTGATTTTGTTAATTTATCGATGGCTTTTTGATTTGAAGCAATTTGTCATTTTCGAGTTCTCAATACAAAGTTCACACTTCATTAGCTTGTCATTTTCTATCGTTTTGTCGGTTTTTTCAAACCAAACTCTTTGGTTTGTCATATGCTGTGGTACACCAAAATTCGATTGAATAATTTTTATTTAAGTTTTATAGGACAACCAAAATTAATCAAGAAATTTAAATGCTTTTTGGCGAGGAGCCAAATTCATCTACATCTGCTCCTCCCTGAGAGTTCAACATGACGATAAACTAGTGTTGTTCAAACTTTTATGAGCCACCGCACACTTTGAATCTTGAAGATCATTCAGGACACACTAATTTTTTATGGTCCACCAATAAAGCAATTTTGATGAAATTTATTATAATTAATAATTAAAATCGAGCATCTATATTATAATAGCTTAATGCGGTTCTCAGGTGTGGAGTAAGGTGGGTCCGAATTTGAGGGGGTTTGTGAAGCCGTGGGAAGTTTTGTGGTAGGATTGACCTTAAAAACTATATGGCTACTTGCGTCTTATTTTTGGGTCTTTTTATTAAGTTTTTAGCGCATTTTTGAAACTTGTTTCGAAAAGGTAGCTTAATAATTCACTTTGCTCGGTCGGCTGTTCGGGCGCTGAGATCTCCTCAACCAGACATCGTAGAGAGCTCTGGTTTGTTTTAATAGCTCTGTTACTATCGATTTATCGGCCCATCGAACAGTTAAAAGTCTTGAAACAGTGTATTTATGCTATAATTAATGAATTTTTGTTTTGTTTCCAGTGTAACCTGCTCAAATTTTATTTTACCTCTATAATTTCAACATTACCTCTATAATTTCAAATTTTTCTAACCGTTGTAAAATTTGAATTTCAAAAAGCCGTTAAATGATAAACTTTTTTTGTATGGAACAAATTATTTAATTATACTATAATTAATTTTTTTGTAGTGCAACTTATAGCGGGAAAATTTCAAATTATTTATTGACCGTTGAATAATAAATCCTTTCTGTATAAGCATTCATTGTAATTATTTGTTAATTACACTAAAATTAATGATCTTCTAATCTTCTAATGATCTGTAAATGAACGCAAAATAATTACATAATCAAATACTGATCGCTAGCACAAAAATGCGCTTAAGTCCCTCGATCAATAACACGAGGACTTCTGTAATTTTTTTGAATTAAAAACTGTTAAAAATCTCCTTTTTTGATTTTTTAAACACGGTATACATTAGATAGGTTTTAAATTTTTAATTTTCTTTGCTATTTCAAGAAATCCAGCAATTTGCAAATAATTTGTGACTATTTCAATAAATTTTTTATAATCTTTTTTATAAATTGTGTACTTACAATAGTAATGCTCATTCCGAAAGTAAATAGACTTTTAAATCTTCATAGTGAAACTAATCAAATTAAGCATGTAAAAAGCAGTTCTCACAACTACACATTATCGACGAACAACATAGAATGTGTATAGTATGGAATATTTATTTACGATTCACACAAATCGCTGCCTGTGTGTTTTTTAAGATTGGAAGCAAAATAAAAACATAAATAAAAATACGAGATAAAGAGAAACTTGTAATAAAGAAGCCAAATGAGTTGTTTTTTTTCCTTCTCTTTTGTATTTTCGATTTTCATTTAGTTGCACGTAAAAATCGAGAGTTTGAAGATCACAAAGTTGAAGGTCGGTTTGATTGTTGACAATGCGGCATATTTTTGTAATTTGTCTTCTAATTATATGCGGAAGGTTTACTGTTGATTCGGCACGAATATTAGGTATTTTTATACATCCAGCCATTTCACATTTTCGTGCTTTTAGACCGGTTTTACATGCACTTGGTGAGAAAGGTCATGATGTCTATGTTGTTAGTCACTTTCCTGAGAAAGATCCTCCGACTAATTACCATGAATTCATATTAAAACAAGATGATATTTTGACTGGAACTGCGGCTGTTGATGAAGTAAGATAATTTTATTTTTTATTATCTTTTGTATCATTGCGATTGGTGTAGATAACAAATTGAAAAATTGATTCTCACGAACAATCAAGTTTGCTGGTAAATCAAAAGCATGTAGCAAAGAAATCGCAGTGCTTAAGTTAAAAATGACCTGAATTGCTTTTCCCAATTTAATTTTTAAGGTTTATTCTCCAAGAACATTTCGTATTTTTTATGAAGAATTTCATGCATTAATGGATGAAGGAATCCGAGCTTGTGAAGCATTTTTTAATTCTCCTTTTATGGAACAAATTCAGCAACTCAATAATCAACATCAATTTGACATACTGATAACTGAGTATTTTAATACAGATTGTGTTCTTGGATTCGCTCATAAACTTGGAATAACGAAATTCATCGGCATGAGTTCATGTGCATTGATGCCATGGCATTACGATAGAGTTGGTTTGCCTGATTCACCATCTTATATTCCAAATGAATTTGTTGGATATTCTGATAAAATGAATTTGATAGAAAGGATGGTAAATTGGATCACAGTTCATGGTTGCAAGCTTGGTTATAGGTAAGTTAAAGTTTTAGTTTTGTTTTTTTTTGGCTTAACTTTTCAAAAACCTTTTTGGTTTTTAACTATAGAGGCCAGTCTCTGATCCAAAAACATCACAATAATTAAAATGAATTTATTTCACACAATTTTAGAATTTTTCAGCAAAGAGACAATGCACGAGTCAAAAGATATTTAGGTGAAGGAATTCCAGATCTTCAAGAGCTTGCAAAACAAACAAAATTACTTTTTATAAATCAACATTTTTCACTTTCTGGTGTTAAACCATTCCCACCTTCAGTCATTGAAATTGGTGGCATTCACATTAGTAATAATCGAGAAAAGTTACCAACTGATCTTCAAAATATTCTTGATAATTCAAAACACGGGGTGATTTATGTCTCATGGGGATCAATAATAACATCACGTGGTATGCCTGATGAGAAAAAGAAGGAAATTGTCAATGCATTTAAGCGAATCCCTCAAACAATTCTGTGGAAATGGGAAGAAGATGAATTCACAAAATCAGCTGAAAATATTCACATCCGTTCGTGGTTTCCACAAATTGATATTTTATGTCATCCAAATGTTGTTGCTTTTATGTCTCATGGAGGAATGATGGGAATTTCCGAGACTGTTTACTGTAAGAAGCCAGCAATTGTTACGCCAATTTACGGTGATCAATATTTGAACGGTGCTGCTGTTGAGAATCGAGGAATGGGAATTGTGTTGAATTATGACGAGTTAAATGAGGAAAATATTTATAAATCAATTCAAGAGATTCTAAAACCAGAGTAAGTTATTTTTTGAGGTTGTTCATGAACCTCAGGTTTTCCATCCCTATTAAGCATTACGTAATCTATGAACAGTTTTTAATGATTTTTAAAATATTTTTTTTATATATTCTAATATCTCTAATTTTATACAGCTACAAGCACCAAGCTGAAAAGGTCGCGCAATCTTATAACAATCGTCCGTTAAGTGCCATTGATACAGCTCTCTTTTGGACTGAGAATATCATCAAAAATGATGGAAGTTTATTAAAATCACAGGCATCTGAATTAAACTGGTTTTCTTATTACTGCATTGATGTCTTTTTGGCTATTGTTTGTGTTCTATTAGCAATAATTTTATTGATATTTAAAATTATTAAGCTAACACTTTTTAGTTTTAAATTAAGTAAGCCTAAAAAGGATGTAAAAATAATTAAAAAGAAGAAAAAGTAAAATTTAAATGTACTAGTTTTAATTTTAACTTCCATGCAAGAGCGTAAAGGACTCATTTTCAAAAATCTCAAGAGTACCAAAATGTGTGTATTAGAAGGCTGGATTTTTCTGTACAAAAACTTTTACAATTGGACATCATCCTTCCACTCCATTCCGTTCCATTGCAGATTGCTTCGCTCCGCTCAGCTCAGCAATGTTCCATTCCACAAACTTGGCAACTTATATGTTATCTAATGCAAGTCAAGCGTGGAAGTTCGTGGCTTTCTACGTAAGTCGTGTTTTTTTATGTCTAAACCAATATTTCTCAAATTATGATTTGTGATTGAGTTAAATTTAAATAATCTGAAAAAGTTTCTTTTGATTTGAGATTGCATCCAGGTCTTTAAATTTATTTTGGATGCTACGAATGAATTAATTTTCAATTCCCTTATTTCAAAATTTCCTTGAAAATGTATTAAAAAATGCAACCGATCTAAAATAGAATAACTGCGTATAAATTTTTGATTTGACATCAGATATTAAAAAGCTAAGGTTTAAGTCAGGTTTAAAATGCCAATGTCATTTCTTCTCAAGACATTTCTCAACCATTGCATCAAAAATCCTAATTTAACACTTGAACTAAACTGTTATGCTTTCTAATCCTTCCTCAAAACTATTCCCAACTTTTTTTCTTTTTTCTTAAAATCCCTAATAATTTTGACTACGTTATGAGGATATTCTAACAATTCATCATCAAATTTAATTTCTTTGTGCTTATTTTTTACTTTTAAGCTGCCTCAAAAAGCTTTAAATAGTCTGTTTCAACATCACCTGGAAGTTCATTGTTGTAGATAAATTTTAAGATTGTTTCGAAAATTTCAACATTTATTTCAATCAATCTTAAGTTTTCAGCTTCAGGATTATTTCGAAAAATTTCAGCTAAAGTTGGACTTCGAGCTGCCAAAAGAAATTTATGAAAATTTATCTAAAAATTCACGATCGTAAATGATTATTTGGAAATCCTTTGTAGATTCATCTTGAATGAAATTAGTTAAATCAATTGTTAATTCAGTTTGTGGTTTCACATCTTCTAAGCCTGTGATCTTCAATTTCAATTGTTCCTGCATTTTTTAAGGTCGTTTACTTGATTTGTTCTCTAACTTCATTTGTTTTTCTGACTTTTCAAGTTCGTAATTTTATTCCTTTAATTTAAAATTTTGAATTTTAAGACATGTGAGCTGAAGTGGCTCGGTGGCTGAATGGGTTATTACTTCGGTGCCAAATAATTGCAATACTGACACAGCAATCATGGATTCGAGACTTGTCCTTTTTCGAATCATATGTACTGGAAATGAGCCTCACAGCCTTCCTTTGTAGGCTACTTGCAGAAATGTCATCAAAGGAGTGGTTCGGATCCTACTTTCAATCGTAGGTCTAGGTTTTGAGGAGGAGGTCTGGCTAGCCCTATCTCGTTAAACTATCATTAGCCTCGTGACGCGCAGCTATGGATCTTAAGGTCTGAATGCTAAAGTTTATTTTTTTTTTTATTTTAAAACAAACAATCAATTTTATTTCAAATACTCATATTTTATTTACAATATATCAATTTAGTGGAAGACCCGTCAAAGCAATTGGAAACATTTTGTTTCAATCTCGGAATTATCGTTATTATCAATTTATTTAGTATCACTATTTAACTAGCATCATGTGCTTATTTTCATTGGTGCCTATTCTAGCTACCTTTTTAAAGTGCCAATTCTCGTCTTTTATAATTTTTTCAAAATAATCTAATTTTAATTCAAATTTCCATAGCAAAGGTATTTAATGTAAACATAGTCATCAATTCCATGCTTAGATCCTTCACGTCCAAGTCCACTTTCTTTAATTCCACCAAATGCAGCCTCAGTAGTTGAAATCAATCCTTCATTAATGCCAATCATACCAACTTCAAGATCCTTGTTGATACGGAATATTTGACTAATATCCTGACTGAAGAAATAACCAGCAAGACCACGTTGAGTACTATTTGCAATCTTTAATGCTTCATCTTCGGTTTTGAATTTTATGAGTGACACAACAGGTCCAAAAACTTCGTCATTATATAAATTCATATTTGTCTTAATATCTGTGACTATTGTTGGCTCAAAGAACAGTGGACCGATGTCTGACAAGTGACGTCCACCATGAATAATTTTTGCACCATTGCATGTTGCATCAGACACCATAGCTTGAACTTTATGAAGTTGTGCCTCGTTAATTAATGGGCCGATTTTAACATCAGCATTGGATCCATCACCGATTTTCAGTGCCTTAATTTGTTCTGTCAATTTTCCAGTAAATTCATCAAAAACTTCTTCTTGAATTAAAAATCGATTTGCAGACACACATGTCTGTCCACAGTTACGGAATTTTGATGTCATTGCACCTTGAACTGCATGATCGATATTTGCCGACTTGAAGACAATAAATGGAGCATTTCCACCTAATTCTAATCCAATTCTTTTGATTCCTTCTGAGCATTGTCGGTAGAGCAATTTACCAACTTGAGTTGATCCTGTAAAGGATATTCCTGCAACTTTTGGACTTTTACATAACAATTCACCAATTTCAGCTGCATGAATGCGACTTGATGTTATGCAGTTAATAACACCGGGTGGAAATCCAGCTTCTTCTGCTAGTTTACAAATTGCTAGAGCTGTTAATGGAGTGTCTTCTGCTGGCTTTAAAACGACTGTGCAACCTGGAATTAAATTACATTTTGAGTTTAGTGGATCTTGTTGGAAACCAGAAGATTCTAAAAGTGACATTAACTTACCAGCAGCTAAAGCAGCTCCAGCTTTCCTTGTTATCATTGCATGAGGAAAGTTCCAAGGTGTTATTAATCCAGCTACACCAATTGGATGTCTAGTCATCATAATTTGACGACTAGCAACAGGTGATGGCACAATTTCACCATAAATTCGACGAGCTTCTTCAGCAAACCATTCGATAAAGCTGTTGCCATATCCAACTTCACCAAGAGATTCACCAATAGGCTTTCCAGATTCAGCTGTCATAATTTCAGCAATTTCTTGTTTGTGCTGTTCGAGTAGGTTGAACCATTTCTAGCATAAAGATTAAAAAAAAAGAATTTTCAATCAACAACCCGAGCAGCAAACTACGGTTACCACAATCGAGTTCCAAATGAAATTATGAAAAATTACCTTCAATAAGTTAGACCTTTCCTTTGCAGTTGAATTATGCCATTCCTTACTATAAAATGCATCGTTTGCAGCATCAATTGCTCGCTGACAATCTTCCTTATTCATATCAGGAACTTGTGCAATTACATTCATATTTGCAGGATTTATTACGTCAAACTTTTTACCATCGCACGAATTTGTCCATTTGCCATCAACAAATCCTAATGTTTTGACTAAAGATGACAACATTCTAGATACCTGAATATTTGATGTTGAATTAAACTTAATTAATCCAATTTTAATGGATTTTCGTGTTAAACTGAACATTTTGAAGGAATTAATTCAATGACAACTGCAACTAGATAATGTTTTTAGACCATTAGAAGATTTTAAAGCACTTGAAAAGTAAAGAAAATTTTTATCGCAATAATTTGTTTGCGGTCAAATCAATTGAAAATTTATTGTTGTTTTTCTTTTGATTACTTGAGCTGTGCGTTAAGGCTGAGCGTGGTTTTGAATTTATTTTGAACGTTACGGACGTTGGAATTCTGTGCCTTTTTGTCATTCTGTGCCAATCAATGTCTTTTTGAGTCTCTCTACGTCTTAATGTATCTCTGTGACATTTAAGCTAATGTAAGTCTCTTTGTACTTACATACGCTTTTCTGTATCTCTTTTCTGTATTACATTGCCTAATTGTGTCTCATAATGCCATCCTATATCTAGGTGTTTCTCATTATTCCATTCCATGTCTTCCTTTGTTACACAAATTTAATATCAATGCACTCCTAATTCCTTTCGAATCTAGGCCACTTTACTTAGTTCAGAAATCATAGAAAATAAATTAATTTATTAAAATAAAATATGATAAATTAATTACAGATATCAGATAAAGGTAAAAATATGAAGACATTCTCACAATGATAAGAAAATATAAAAAGGAACTTTTTCCATTCTCGATTATCAGTTAGAACAAGTCATTGAAGTTAAGCATATCTCCAAGTCAGATAATGAACTTTAAACTTTTAATAACCTTTTATTTTCTTATTGGAATTGTTTTTGGATTCGACAAAGTTTCAAAAGAAGAAGAAGATAAAATTATTGAAAATTATTTTCAAAAATTTCCACTTGTACGAGCTCGTCGATTTTCAAAGTTCAATGAAGCCAAAGAAAATATTTTAAAGCATTTTTATGAAGCACAAGAACATAATGAAAAATTCAGAAGGGGAGATGAAACTTACGAAATGGAACTAAATGAGCTTTCAGCATTGAGTGATGAGAATCTAGCAAAAACTAGATTAGGATTTATTGATCAGCCAAACAATGATCTACAAGATGACAATTCAACGATCTTTTCGGAAATTCAAAATAAATTCAGAAGTAAACGAGCAAATATTCCAGAATATTGGAATTGGGCTGATCATGGAATTGTCCAACCAGTTCAAGATCAAGGAAGTTGTGGAAGTTGTTATGCTTTTGCAGCCATTGGAGTCATTGAGTCATCAATGTGCAGATTCCATGGAGTTTGTGTTAAATTGTCGGAACAAGAAGCTATGGAATGTACAAATGGATGCAGAGGAGGTAAGATTAGAAGAATAGACATTAAAGAATGAAATAATTATTTAATCATAATTAATTTATATAGGATGGGATACTTCAGTCTACAACTATGCAAATTCTCATAATGGATGTACAGCTTCAACTTATTACAGATATTTAGGATATGTCAATAATCAATGTGACACACAATCTAGACCTCGTACTCAATTTTCATCAACACATCAATTTATAATTTTACCAAAGAATGCTGAAGATATTCGTCAATTTTTGTACAACTATGGTCCACTGTTTGTTGCTTTTGATGTTTATAATAACTTATTCTCATATTCGTCTGGAATTGTCACAACAACATCGGGAACTAGAGCTGGTGGTCATGCTGGTAAATTTCTTGTCTCAATAAGTTTAAGCTTGTTTTTGTAAAATTTGATAAATTTTTATTTTAGTGTTACTCGTTGGATATGGAACTAGTAATGACATTCCATACTGGATTTTGAAAAATTCATGGGGTAAGCAAAAATTTTTTAAAACTTCTGAATTAAAGTTTATAAATTTTAAATGTAAATAATTTACTAGGCTCACGTTGGGGAGAAAAAGGTATTGTAAATTTAACTTTATTTTTGTAGATTTATTAACAACTTATCTTTTTAAAAACAATTAGGATACTTTCGAGTAATACGGGGAATAAACTTTGCAAGAATAGAGAGCTGGAAGGTTTCATTTGCATGGACGAAATAAACGTTTGCAGGGGCGTAGCCAGGGAGTGCTTGTGTGCCTGGGCAACCCCCTTCCCCTTGAGATTGAAATTTCAAACATTTTTTTGGAAGTTTTATAAAAAAAAACTTATTTTCAACCGTTAAATCGCAGTTAATTAACAGAAGCTTACTAGTTTGAAGCAAGAACAATAAAATTAGCTTTTAATAATCAAAGAGAGAAGGTTTTATTGATTTTTGGATATAAAATTTTTTTTGGACCCCCCAAAATTGGGATTGGATTGGATTATATTGGATAATCATTTTTATGAAAAATAAATTAAATTTTAAATAATCAAATAAAAATAATAAACTTTAACATTCAGACGTTACAAGGCTAATGAAAGTTTAACGAGAGAGGGTTCGCCAGACCAACCGCTCAAACTTAGACCTACAGTTTTTAAATTTATTTTACAATTCTTAGTAAAACCTCTTCAAATAGAAAACGTGCGCAAGTTAAATAATTACCACTTGAAGAAAATGACGATTTCACCAACGGAAGGATTTCATTTAATATATCTTATCAAAATTATTTTTCACTTACTCATGGTTCAAAAGATAAGCATGAAATCTTGAATTATAAAAACAACTCCACATTGTTTTAAATCATTCAGTTAAAAATTAAATTTTATTGCAATGAAACTTGCTGGTTTTTCACTTCTTTTATTTTTAACACTAAGTGTGGAAATTAATTATATAATAGGTGACCCAAATTTTGATGAAAATTCTACTGTCAATCAGTTCGCTGTTAACACGACAACAACTAGGTATATTAATAATACCACAACAAAATATACAAATGTCACAACAACGACGACTAGATATGGAAATAATACAACAACAACCAGATATCAACCAACAACTACGACAACTAGGTACCAACCTACGACAAGATATGTAACAAATACTACAACAACTAGACCTAATGTGATAACAACAACAACCCGACCAATTAATATTACATCCACAACTCCTGTATTTAATTTCACAACAATAACAATGCAACCTACAGTTGTACCAGCATCAATTCAATGCAATTATTTCAGTTCATCTACAATTTATGGATGTGATTTGAAAATTTATAATCCTGATGGACAAGAGTTCTCAGTCATTTACGGTGCTCATTTGCCACAAAAATTCGATATTGATGTTTTTGAAGTGTCTGGAAAATTTCAAAATACAAAGAATATTCCATCAATCATATGCAGGAAGTACATCAATTTAAAGACACTTGACATTTTTTGGAGTGAAGTTTCAATTTTAACTTCGGAGAGCTTCAAAAACTGTAATAATTTAGAGACTCTGGATTTAAAAGGAAATATTTTAACAAAAATCCCTTTTGGCACATTTGGATATCATTATAAGCTAAGGATGATAAATTTGGAACGAAATCAAATCGAAATAATTGAAGATTCTGTATTTCATGGCATAAAACTCTTTGAACTTAATCTTGGATATAATGAACTTCGAATGGTGAACTCAACATGGTTTTACAGGAACAGTGGTTATTTAAGAAAACTTTTAGTTCCTGGAAACAGAATTACAAAAATGATCCGAACAGATTATGGAATGTTTGGGAGTATAGAGTACTTGGATATGAGCATGAATCCAATTAAAAATATTCAGATTATTGATTTTAATATGATGTCAAATGTTGAAACATTAAAACTTGATGACTGTGAAATTTCGGAACTATATTTGGGCAACTTTAATTTGCTTGTCAATTTAAAGTCCTTAAGTATCAACAACAATTTGATTCGTGAATTTCCAAGTGAAACGTTTTCTTATCAACCATATCTGACTGACGTGTCTGCATCTGGCAACAGAATTACATCAATTGATTCAAGATCGTTTGGAAATACAATGCCAAGATTGAGATCACTTTATATTCAAAATAATCAAATAGATTCAATAGATCCAGAATTTTTTAACAATACTAAAGATCTTTCTGCTTTGTTCCTGGATGGAAATATGTGCATCAATAGAAGTTTTATTATTGAAACTTTAAATCGAGAAAATGTTAGACAAGAAATCGAGCCTTGTTTTAGAAACTTTAGATATGTTAGATGTTCATATTCTGGATCTCCTGACTTTATTTGCCAAATGAGTGTGAGGAATTTAGTTGGAGTTGATGATATTGAGATTGTTGAAGGTAAGTTCTGTGCTTCTCATACCTCATAGCTTTGAGAAGCCATGTCCTAGTCTAATTTTGTAATAATTATAGGTCAACATCCATCAGGGTCCAATAATAACGACGTTAGAATAGTTAATATAATCAATGGAACATCAACAATATTCCCGTCAGTTATCTGCAAACAATTTAATAATCTTCAAGAAATAACTGCATCAGGAAATGGAATTACAAGTTTAACTACATCGGCTTTCCAAAATTGTAGAAACTTAAAGGTCCTTCAATTGATCTCACAAGAAATTTCAGTCATTCCGGAAAATACTTTCGCAAATTTATCGAACCTTCAAACTTTGTCATTAATGTTGAACAAAATTCAAACAATTAGTTCAAGATCAATGATTGGTCTGAGCGCAAACATGCAAAACCTATACTTAAATTCAAATTTGATTACAAGAATTGAAAATGGAGCATTTACCAGCTTAGCAAATGTCTCAAGAATACATCTTAATTCCAACAGGTTGACTGCAGTTAATTCATTATCTTTTGGTGCCTCATTAAGACATTTAACTGAGTTTTCAGCAAATTATAATCAAATTAATGAAATTGACCCCATTTGGTTTAATAACTCAACAGTTTTAGATACTTTAAACTTAACAGGAAATGTTTGTGTCAATGCAAGTTTTGTAAATGTAAGAAGCACACGAACTTATGTGTCTAGCCAATTGCAAAATTGTTTTAATCGTTTTCGAACTTAAATTTATCTTTATTTTTATTTTAAAAATTTAAATAAATTCATTTTTAACAAAAATAACTTTAACGGTTTTTCAATATTTGAATTATTTATTTATCAAAGGACACGTAACTATTGTTTTAAAAACTTTTCTTACAAAACATAAACAACAAAACACAAAAATAAGTTGAAATATTATTTTGTTGCAATTCTAACAATCATGAGCGCAAATAATAAAAATGATATTTTAGCGGTTTTACAAATATTGAAAAAATACAATTTAAAGGTAAACGAACTGAACTTATTGAAAATTTCATTTATACATGAAAAAAGTTCAATTTTTTCAATTTCAGGACACCGAAAGTCTCTTGAAGCAAGAAGCAAATCTAACAGATATTCCAGAAAACTTTACGCATGATGCATCAGATAGCGTTCTACAAGCTTATCAAAGTGAAGGTGATCCTGATTCTTATGATTCGTGCTATACTGAATTGAGAAAATTTGTCGATTCCGCACTGGATATCTATAAAGTAAGTTTATTCTTGACTCTATTAAGAAGTTTGATAACAAGAGGTTTTTAATAAATCAAATTTAATGAACTAGATTTGAACATTTAATCATGCCACAAAACATTAATTTCAATGGCATCCTGAAGATCTCTAAAAACTAATAGCAGATACTAATAAGCAATTAATTCAATTTAATATTTTAGTACGAGCTGAGCATGATTCTCTATCCAGTTTTTGTTCACATGTACATCGAACTCGTCTATAATGGTCATGAAGAGCAAGCTAAAGAACTTATGGAAAAGTTTGGTCCAGAGCAAGAATATTATTATCAAGAAGACATAAAGAGACTTTCAATGATAACAAAAAGAGATCAAATGAGTGGAAATGACTTGACTGATACATTTAAGTCTAATGAATTTATCATTCGTATATCCCGTGATACGTTGTCACTGCTCAAGCGGCATCTTCAAGAGAAAAAAGCCAGTGTTGTTATGAATATCATCAATGAACATCTCTACTTTGATTTGTATGAAGGAATGGCTAGAAATAAGAAGCAATGTGATGCAACAGCTGGCGCATTACTAGGTGAAGCAAGGAGACAAGACAACAAAGTCAAAGTGTATTATGGACTGTTAAAAGAACCTGATTATCAGCAAATGACAACACAAGCACCGCCACCAGAAGAAGAAGATGAGAATGATGTTGATGCAGACAAACCGAAGAAAAAGAAACAAAAGAAAGATCCTTTATTTGGTAAAAAGACAAAATCAGATCCAAATGCTCCACCATCCGATCGTGTGTTTTTACCTCAGCTCCGCGACAATGATAAGAATGAGAAGATCAAAGCACTTCGTGAAGCACAGAAGCGTGTCAACCTTGGACCTGACAGTTTGCCATCTGTTTGCTATTATACACTGCTTAATTCTTTATATACAGTCACATGTGCTGAAATTGCTGAGGATTCATCACTAATTGCAATTGGATTTTCTGATGCAACAATTAAAGTTTGGGCAATGACACCAGCTAAGTTAAGAGAGCTAAAATCAGCTGAGCATTTAAAGGATATTGACAGAGATGTTGATGATGTCCTTGTAAGAATGATGGATGACAGAAAAGCAGACACATCAAAGCTATTTACTGGGCATACAGGCCCAGTTTATAGTTGCTCATTTACATTTGATCGATCACTTTTGTTGTCATGCTCAGAAGATTGTACAATCAGATTATGGTCTTTGCAGACATGGACATGTCTTGTTGTATATAAAGGTCATTTAAATCCAGTTTGGGATGTGAAATTTTCACCGCACGGTTACTATTTTGTCAGTTCTTCACATGATAAGACAGCTCGCGTATGGGCTACAGATAATCCACAACCACTAAGAATATTTGCAGGACATTTATCAGATATTGATGTCTGCATGTTTCATCCCAATTCAAATTATGTTGCAACAGGTTCAAGTGATAGGACAGTCCGACTTTGGGATGTCTTATCAGGGAATCATGTTCGATTAATGACAGGACATAAGGCACCGATCTATTCACTAGTATTTTCAAACTGTGGACGATATTTAGCTAGTGGATCAAGTGATAAAGTTGTGAATGTATGGGACTTGGCACATGGACATTTAGTTGCGAGTTTAGAAGGTCACACATCCACAATTCATTCGCTTTGTTTTAGTCGTGATGGAACTGTGTTGGCATCTGGAGCACTTGATTGTAATTTGAAACTTTGGGATTTTTCAAAATTATGTGAGGATCTTAGTGGTGAAAATGTCAATGTGTCACACAATCCGAATGTAAGGAGTGGAGACAATTATTTACTTCGTACTTTCCCGACAAAACAATCGCCTTTCATAACACTTCATTTTACTAGAAGGAACTTGCTGTATGGTGTCGGTATGTTCGAGAGTTCTTAAATGTAAATTTAATGCCTGAAATATTATTTGAATAAAATAAGGAAATAAAGTGTTTAAAATTTTAACATTTTTAATTTGTTCAATCTTCGATTTTAATAAAATTAAATTTGATGAATAAATTGCAAAGTTCTTTTCCACTCCGAGTTAAAGGTAAATTTGTTCCAAACTCATCAAGAGTCGACCATTAATTTAATGCGGTCTAGATATTGCAAAGCACATGCCCCTAATTAGTCTTTTTTAATGCACTCAGTGAAAGGGTTTCCTATGATGAGTTATCAGGATGGGTTTAAAAAGAAAACGATTTAATTCACATGGATTTACCTTTATACCCTTTTTCGCATACGGTTTAGATTCAATTGATGAAACAATCAAAACTGTAAGAAAAATTGTCAAAATCCTTTGATTCTCAGTTAATTAAAATTCAAATAGAAATAGTTAAAAGAGCAATTTTAATTTTGGGAATTAAAATTTTTCCAATTTTGTTATAACTATTTCAAATTAAAATCTTGAATTGCCATAAAATTCAACATAATTTACCACAAAATAGCACAAAAATTCCAACTCTCATTTTTTCTTTATTTAAATTTAACTTCTGATCAGTTTGAAGTTTGAAATTATACTAAGCCAATTATTTGTGAACAAAAAAAACTAAAGAAAAATCAGTAAATACCAATTGCTTTTAAATGACTTAAGAGTCACTCAAGCAGTTAAGTGCCTTGCTGGTCGAATAGGTAAGGCGCTTGGCTCAAATTTGGTATGGTAACTCGAAGGTCGTCGGCTCGAATCCAGCCATTTCCAAATTTGTTCTTTTTCAGAAGTTTAGATACTTTGACTGCTTAATGTACGAGTCAAGCCATAATTGGGCATTTTGGGCAACGTTGGATTAAGGAACGGATCAGGAACTTGAAGTGTAGCGGGAGAAATAGGAACGAGAGCTACAAGATTACCTTATAATGGAATATTGTCAGAACGGACCTGAAATGTATCACGTCACGCCCACAGAAGATCGAAACGAGAGCCTTAGTTTATTTGAAACCTAGATTTAAAGATTAGAAGCTTGATTCTACGTCACCCATAGTGATATGAAATGTATCACTAATCAATGTAAAAAGTAAAAACATGTATAAATACCTAATTCTTCCGGACGGTATCGTCGACAAATAAATAATAATAAAAAATAATAATAACTAATGAATTTGAAAATAATTCGGTTTAAACCCACTTAGGGGCCATTCACTTATTACGTAACGCTTTTAGGGGGGGAGGGGGGTCTAAGATTTTGTTACGGTTCAAACAAGGAAATTTTTTTTTCATACAAATTTTGTTACGAGGGGGGGGGGGTCTAAAAAGTCATTTTTTCGCGTTACGTAATAAGTGAACAGCCCTTTAATGCATTTTGAGGAAGGAAATAATTGTTGATTCTTTTAAAGTTTATATAGCAATATGCTTTATAGAATTATTTATTCTTTTTTCAAAAATTATTGTCAAGTAAACTTTTACATATTATCTTCAACTTGACTTTGCTTACAGCCCAAACTATATGGATCACCCACAAATCCTTCTTTACAATTACAAATTATTGCATGATTTACTATTTTACAATCTGAATTAAAACTGCAAACATCATTACAAATATTTGTGCATTTGAATGAGAAACAAACTTTATCCGTTGTACAATCAGTATTAACTCTACATTCGGGTGTGCAATTTGGGGGAGTTCCAGAAAATCCAGAAAGACATGAACAAGATGGACCATCGGAGTCATTTCTCTGGAAACTAAAGAATCCACATGGTGGTGCAGTTCCAAGATTCATCTTTTCAGGATCATTTACGCCATCTTTTCTAATGCATTCTCTAAATGGATCTCCTGATTGTTAAAATAGGAAAATTATATCATGAATGATATAAGGGGTCATTCACGTATGATGTCCATAAAAAAATGATTTTTAGACCCCCCTCCCCCTTGTGACGTCCAATCAAAGGTTACCAAAAATTATGATTCAATTTTTGCGATTATTGGATGTCACAAATTTCCTGATCCCCCACCCCCTTCAACTTCCTTGTAACAAAATTCTAAAACTGTCCTCCCGCTTCCCTGTCACAATGTGTCACAAAATCCTAGACCCCCTCCCCCCTGAATCTCTGACGTCATAAGTGAATGACCCCTAAGTAAATTTATTTTTTTACCTATGTAGCCGTCTCCACATTTACAAACTGGATGATGATTATTTACAGAACATTCCGCTTTATAGCCACAAACATCTAAAGAACATGTATTTTTACAGTGTTTGTTAATACAACTTTCAGATACTTGACATTCCGCATTTAAAGTGCACTCTGGAAAATTGAATTTATTTGTGTTTAATTTATAATTATATCGAAATTCTGAAAATTACCTTGAAAATCAGCAGACACTGCTGTTATGCTTTCTTCTTCACCTGATATTGTTTTGCATTCGGTTGAATGAATTAGCAAAACTAGAATTTATTCAAATTTAAGTTGACTTTCAAAATTAAGTTATTCTTATGCAAATTTTACAGACCAAAATCAATAAAAAATTAAAATAATGCATAAACTATAAGAGATGTCGGTAACCTTTTGGATATGTTTTTCGATTTAAAATTCAAGTTAATGTTATGATGAAAAAAATTCTCCACAAGGTTCAGTTTTTGTTCTGATTTCAGAAAATTCTTTTATTTTGAGATAGTTTGAAAATCTCAGAATTAAAACCTGAATCGATCTTTATATTTTTATATGATCTGGAAACTTTAGTCATAAACAGGAATAATCGATACTTTATAAAGGTTCATGATTGCAGATTACTGAATGAACTTGATTTAATTGAAAATATGCTTACCAGCTACGATAATTAAATATTCAACTATCATTGTCATTAGAGAATATGCTTCCTTTGAGTTTGGAATTAAAATAATCACTGTGAATTATGTATTGCCCAGGGTATTGCCTCAATAATAAAAAATTAATAATTTTATATGTTCACTAATACAAACGACACTAATCCTCTTATGTCTAGAAATGATCAAAACTTGTTTCAATGTTCAGACTATAGATCTTGTGTTGATAATTGTAAAACATTATATGCAGATTTAATTCCAAACTCTTTCATTATTTGAATCGAATTATATTAATCGAATATAAATCTGATGCCAAACCGGCTTGGCATGTTGCTGGCCACCATTTAGATCCAGCACCATGCTAGAGCAACCCCAGCTAGGTTCTGGATTTTTGATCGATTTACCAACTTGTGCCATTCGGGATCAGTTTTTATCGAAAGATTATTTTATGATTCTCATGTGCTTAAATTTATGAAAACAGCGTTATTAAAATTATAAAGTTTTGACTCTCCTAAACATTTACAAACTGGGATGACTAGACATACTTAACAATCATAAATTAAGGCATATTACTGAAAATTCTTTTAAAATTTTTAAAAAACCTAAATTTTTGAATTTTTGAATTTTTATTTTCATATTTTTGTAATTTTTAATTTAATCAATTGAAATAAAATCACAGTTTTCAGAAAAAATTTGATCAAAATTTTCTTCGATCGCTGCATCATCATCTAATTCCTCGCTGCTGTTAATTCCGAAATTTTCAAGTGGTTCCTCAACCACATTCGTCTCATTTTGTAAATTCATCTCAGTTCCAAATTCATCTTTGTCAATGTTTTGCTCATCACTTCTATCAAATTCCTCGACTTCCTCGGTCTTAACTCGTTTTTCAGCAGCAATTTCGTAAAATATTTCTTCATTTTTAGCTTCATCATCAAAATCTTCATCTTCACGTCGTCGTTTTTGTGCAACTGCTTTAAATTCAGTTTGCTCATTTTGAGTATCGACGAAGTCATTTGCTGATACGAAAGCTTCCAAATTTGAAAATGATCCAATGCATGAGATGAAATCTAATAAATCTTTTTGAACTAATTCGTTTAACTTCCTTTCAATTTCGTCCTTTTTCTCTTTCAGCTTCTCATTTTCTTCACTTAATTTTGTTATAATGCTTTGTGCCTGTTCAATCAAAATTTTTGTTGATTCATCTTTTTCTTGAATTTGGTTTGATTTTCTGTCAATTTCTTGAATGGCCATTGACAATTTATTCTGAAGTCGTTGAAGTTCACCATCAAGTTCTTCGATTGTTGCATTTGCATGAATTTCGTATTCTTCTAAGATTTTTTGTTCATCTTCAAGCATTTTTTCAAGTTCTTCACATTTTCTACTCTCTTCTTCCAATAGCTTTGCCATTTCTGACAGAGATTTGACATTTTCTTGTCGTTCAAGAGTTACTTTAATTAACTCTATGCTGCTCATCATTTGAGTTTGAAAGATTTGTTGCTTTTTATGCATTTCATTTTCAGTTCTGAGTTCAGCTTCCAATTTGATCAAATTTTTGTTTTCCTTTGTCAAATTTAGGACCAATGTTTCAGATTCGCTAAGCTTTGATGAACAGTTTTGAAGTTCATCATGTAAATGTGTTAATGATGTTTCAAGTTTGGCGACTGTTGTTTCTAAATTCATAGTTTTATCCTCCAAACTCTGAAGTTTCTTCTTAGTCATGTCGAAATTCTTTTGTTGGATCTTTAATTGAGCCTCTTTATGTCCAAGTTCCAAGTGAAGATTGAAGTTTGTATCCGACCGTTGAGTCTTTATCTCGTCAAGCTGATTGCTGAGCTGTTTAATGATTAAATCTTTTTTTATCAGCATTTCTTCATATTTTGTGATGTCATGTTCGGATTTTTCTAAATCGTTCTCGATATGAAAAACTTCCATTAATTCATCTTGATTTGAGTTTGCAGCAATTGAAGGGATTTCAGCTTGATCATTTGCTTTAAATCCGTCAACTTGTTGAATCACAGTGGTCAATTCTCGAACCAATTCGAATAATTTTACGTTGTTGTCTTCAACATTGTCGATTTCTCCTTCAAAATCTTGATCAAGACCCTTAATTATTGACTTGTCTTCAATTCCATCGAGCAGTTGACAAACTTGTGAACTTAAATTTTTGTTTTCTATTTGCAATTTCATACATTTTTGGTTTAAATTATGAATTAAGTTATTTTGTTGCGCGTTGAGCTTTTCATCTCTCACAACTTGATACTCAGTACTTAGCATCTGGTAGGCTTTACGAAGATTTCTCAATTCAATTTGAGTATCTTTAATTTCTGGCGCTCTTTCCTCAATCTCGTGCACAACAGCTGTTAAAGTTTCCTTTAACTTTTCATGTTCTAAGTTAAGAACATCTAGATCTTCACTGGCATTGACATACATTGAATAAACTTCTGCAATCGAGAGGCTCGATTCTGTATGTTCAGCCACAACTGTTGTCAATTCTTTGTGTACATTCATGAAATCTTCAGATTTTTCTTTGAACAGTTCCACAATACGAGATTTTGATGATAATTCTTGTTTATATCTTTTGATTGACACTGAGAAATCTTCATTGTTTTTTAAAATTTGCGTTGTCAGTTCCTCAACTTTTGTAGCAAGTATTTCATTGTATTCTCTTAATTGTGCTTCATTCATAATTGATGTTTGTAGTTCTGATGATTTTTCATGCAATTTTCTTTCTAAAAGCATTGATTCTTTTTGAGACTGTTGAAGCTCTTGAACATTTTTGGTCAAGTCATTTGTCAACATTTCGATTTTATTTTGAGCCAAAGTTCTTTCATGCATAAACCTCTTTTCCTTAAATTTTGATTCAGTGACTTGTTGTTGGATTTCTTCACATTTTCGAACTGCTTCGCATTTTGCATTTATTGATTCTTGCAGCTGATTTCTTATTTTCTTTGATTCAGATTCAAGTCGTTCAATTTCCATGCTGCGTCGTTCAAGAATTTTAAAGAGCCGATCACGATCTTCTACAGCTTCATCTCGTTCAATTTGTGCTTCTTTCAACTGAATTTCTAAATTGATACTGAATTCAGAGTGTTGAGATGAGCCATTCGCTAATGGTGAACTGTTAATAGCTGAAAAAGATTCGAAGATATTTTCCAATGACATTATTGAACCTTTAGTTACTAGCTGTTGATGGCAAATTTCGTTTCTAAAAGCTTCGTTAATTTTTGAAATTTAAAAAATAATATTTTAATGATCTTTTGGTGAATTTATGTTATGGTTTGATAAACTTGATTTATATGAATGAGGAATTGAATGAAAAAGGTTTGGATTTTATACAATTTTAGTAAATAGGTAAAATTTCTATTTTGTACGATTCTCAGTTAGATGCAACAAAATAAGATTCTGCAACATTTTTGATCTCAAAATGTTCATTTTTAGGTAGATTTACATTAACTAAGTTCTGCCACAATGTAATTTGATTTATAAACTTATAATTCTTTTTTGCTAAAAGGAATTAGTATTTTTCATAAAATTTAAAAATAGTTTACCAATTAAGTTCAGAGAAGAAAAATAAAGAATGTTGCAATTACATAAATGCATGGATCCAACCATTGTAGTTTTTTTTCACATTTCAGTTTCCATGATTCTAACCTCTTTTAAGCTCTCGATTTCTCTCGAAATCCAAAATCTTAAACGCTCGTATTTTGAAGGTTTTAAATTTTTTGATACCACTTCCAATTTCATCATCGATTCTTTCTCTTCGCTCTCCATTTAACTGTAACTCATAAATTTCGCTCTGTCTTCCTCATTTTCAATGGTGAGGTTGTTGATTATTTCTTCATAGTCATCAATTATTTTTTTTTTTGGATTAACGAGTTTTTCCTTTAGTTCTCGCGACCAAAGTCAAAATAAAAGAAAAACAGTCAATCTAAGTTTAGATAAGAGAAAATGAAAATGGTGATATCATCATTGATATAAAGTTCAATTATTAGTCAGTTCTCAACAAAGAAACTTGTTTTATTTTATGTCTCCAGTTCAAGAATATCATCTTTGATTTCTTCAATATCCTTCTACAAATCAAGGTAATATCGTTCCTGATCAAGAACTTGAACATTTACTATTAAAATAGAAGAAAAAATTTATTTCATTAATCTCATGGTCAAAGATCTGAAGGTACTCTGGAAAAGTTTAAATGTCAGTTTTAGATCTTTAACCACATTGTTGTCATCAATTGTTGGAAGTGCAGAAATGTTGAAAAATTAAAATCTTACAAAATGATTTATCTTAAATCTCAGCAAATTATTTCAATTTCAGACCTTACGCTTAACTTTTATAATTAAAAAATCAGTTTTGATATGTTATATGTATTATAAATTTTAATTCGTGAAAGGTTCCCAAAAATTGAAAGTTGTATATCCAGATATAGGGAGTAGGATGAAAATACTTAAAATATGGGACGTAATTTAATTTAGTTTAATTTCAAACAGATGAATTAGAATTAGAAGATAGAATTACAGAAACAGCACCTATAAGAAAAAAATACACTTGAATCATAATCTTAAACTTTTCAAAAATTTGGAGAATGTCCTTTATTTTTATTTTGCCTCACAGTGATATAATGTAGCATCTTAATTGAAAATGTTCGAATTTAGGTTGATGAATTTCTATATTTTGGTTTCATCAAATTTCCATCTTGGTCTTTTATTTCTATTTCTGTATGCAGACTGCAAAACTTTTCAGTATTCTCAGGTGGAACTTCAAGATGACATTTATCACTCAATGATTTCTGTAAATCGTCATCAACATCAACGTCAACTTCTTCAATAATGATTATTGGAATCTTGTGAGCTCCTTTTGACGATGAAAGACCATTGATATGGTTGATGACTTCTTTTTGAATGTTTTCCATATTTGATGATTTATATAGAAAATATATTTTACCAAAATTATGATTTTAAGTTTTAATTTTGTAAAATGTTACTTTCAAAATTCTTTATTGAAATTATAAAAAGAATGTTAATACCTTCGATTTTTATACTAAAGCTTTCAAAACTTTTAAATGCACCTGAATAATAACCTTTAAAAACAAAAGAAAGTTTTTGCATTAAACGGGAAAGTTTTTAATTCAATAAACAAAACTAAAACTTCAATAATCTCATGTCAAAGCCTAATCAAAAAAATTGACAGTAAATTATGCTCAGTTATTCAAGGAAAATAATTCTAACTTAACAACCCAAAAAATACCAAATATGGTCATAAATGGGAACCTCAAAAACATCACAAACAATAGCAAATTCATCTCGAAGTGCTCAAAAACTGAAAAAAATAATCAAAACTTAAAATCACGACTGAGAAGCTTAAATTCAAATATTATCCATTCAGGACCATCAAAAAATAGCACATCCACTTAATTCATATGACAGTAACGGTCGTGTTTGTGCAGCTCTAGAAGATATTTGTGACTGCATGGAAGATTATTGTGTTGGAGTCATTTTGAATACAAAAGCACTTTTTGGGGCCTGATTGTCGTTCTGAATAGGAAATTTGCATTTGAAACTATTGAAATTGACGGAAGTATGAAAATCATTAAGAACAAGGAAATTAAACGAATAAAAACTCTCAGTTTAGATTTTAAAAAAATCCGATTTTTTAATTATTTGACAAATTTTCAGCTCTTTTTTGTATTTAAGACATATTAATCTACAGGTAGTGCTGAAGTATTATTTTTTCCCGCCAAAATTTATTCTTTGTTTATTTTTTTACTCTAAACTTTTTAAATGTTTTTAATAAAATTCAAATGTTTTGCAATCTTTATACCAGTGTAAGTTAACAATTTAAGACATACGCAATGTTAAAACGATCAGGAAGTGAGCAATCAAATCCAAGTAAACGGGTAAAAGCTGACAATGACATGCCACCACCAAGTTTTGGTAAATTTATAAAATATTCACCAAAATCAATTTTTATTTATATTATTTAAAATTATTTTTAGTTCCTCGACAGCCATCAACATCCAGAAATATCAACAGTACTCAAAAACTGTCAGCACCACTGTCATCTAACAATAATATAAAAATAAAACTCCAAACATCCATAAAGGAACTGAAATCTAATCATAATGGTTACTTTAGTGACGATGAAGAAGAAGACGAGGAACTTTGGTTCAGAGCATCCCAAATTGAGGAACGTGAAATGATGTCACATCCGAAAAACCCAGTAGACACGACAGAAATATCATATTCAGAATTTCATGATGCAGAAGGATTAACAAGCACACAAAATGATGGATTTGCAGTTCCAATGAGTCAAATGGATGTTGCATCATCGCAAAAAATTCGTGTCCTTCAGAATAAATGCACGGCACTCGAAAAGCAACTAAAAAGAAATTTGCCTAATATTGCTAAGGCACAAGCAGTTGCGACACAAGCAAATTGTCAAATAAATGATCTAAGGAACAAAATTAAAAAGCTACAAGCTGAAAATGAGGAACTAAGGAAGGACAAACTCAGTGATGCTGACAGAGTCAATGAAGCAACAACAACAATAAGAGGTGAAAATAATTGTTTGAGAAACCAAGTTATCGAATTGAACAAGAAAGTGCGGGAATCACATTTTGAGAGGAGTATTATGGACAAAAGTCCGTTAGATCCAGCAGAAGTGGAAATGATAAGGCTTACTGAAATGATTTTCGATGTGAATAAGACGAGTCATTTTCGACAATTGATGTCACAAGCAACAGCTTACAAATTTTTAAAATTTGATTTAGGAAATGTGAATTCAAAGTTTCACAGTCAATTGATCACATTACAGATGACAATTGCAGATCTTCAAGGGAATTTTTTAAAAAATGAAAAAAATTCACTACAAAAATTTAATAATTCAAGATTTGAAGATAAAACTAAATTCAACAATTTTAAAATGTTTAACCAAATTGTTAAGATTTTCTATAAAATTTCCGATGACATAAAATCTTGCGGATTAAGACACTTGGATGAGCATTTTGTGAGAAAGGAATTTGCATTTAAACAGACTCAATATTGTTCAGATCAGTATTATGGTGATAAAAAAAATGCTAAGAAAATTAATAAGGTTGAAAAACTTTTAGGATTTATTGACATAAAGAATCCATTGACAAAAAGTGATGAAATATTTTTTGATGAAATTCGAATTGATCATCGTAGATTAATTGGAATCATTTCACAAATATTGAATCAATCTATTGTTTTAAGTGAAATGATGTTGACCCAGAATATATCCACAAATCCTGCTGAATACAAAACTGGAATTGACTTAATTTGTGACATTATTGATCCTCACATCCTTCAGTCTAGATTCCTTTATAAAAATTCTGGAATTACCGCAGCATTTGCAGATCTCATCAAAAATCTTTCAATTCATTACAGACATTTTAAGTCTGACTATAAAAACATCAATAGAAATTTTGGAAAACTCTTTAGTCACCTGCTTGCAATGTCTACAAATAATCCACAAATTCTACTTAATTTCTCAGAATTTTTAATAAATATTTTAAGTAACAACAATGGAGCTGAAATACTCAAAGAATTATGCAAAGATTTTCCATCATTTAATATCGAGTATTCAAGCATGTTTAAAATTTATCAAATTCCAAGAAGTGGATGTATGCTGCAAATTTTCTTTATTCTTCTTACAACTGCATTTCGTTTTATTGAAAATGTTGCAGAACATAATTTAGATGTCCTGTTTGATCTGACAATCAACTTTAATACAATAGTTTTCTTAATCATTGCAAATGGATGTGAAGTGGAATTTTTAAAATCATCATCAATTGATTCTAGTGATATTAAAAATCATTGCAAATGCTACATGTTTCTTGTTATTGCATTAATTATTTTAAATAATCAGGCTCTAAAACATAGGAATGTAGATAATATTAAATGTAAGTAGACCTTTTGCCTGATTGTTTTTATAACTCAGTTCCATCTGTATAGCTTTTATTTCTTTACATTACAGACTACTCTAAAGTATCATGCATTACAAAGTCAGCAGTTGTAACGCTTGTTGCACTTCTGTCATATACTGGACATACAATTGACTATAGAAGCTTTACATTTGGATATAATGCAATTAATGAACTTTATACATGGATAACATTTGGTGACATTTATGTAATAAATTCTGAACGATTTTACAATTGCAAAACATTGTTCCTGACGCAGGACAGTCATGGTTAGAATTTTTAAATACATTTAGCGACTTGAGTTATCAACAAATAAACAAAAAATATTTATTTTACAGAAAAATTTATTGAAAGAATTATAACAAGTACAAGCAATGACTATTCATATTCATTTATAACGTGTGACTCAAATCCTGAAGAAAATGAAGAAGCTGAAGATGGTTCAAATGAGGCAAAAACTGATTTATGGAATGAAATTACTAATGACTTTAAAGCTGATGAAAGGTAATGTATTAAAAAAATATTAATTATTAGTGATAATAAATCAAATTTATTTAAAATCTTTTAGTGATATTTCAAGAATCAGTTTTCCAAGATAGTGTAGAACTAAACTCCAAGGCATGAACTCATGTCCAATGCACAAATTTCATCCGGAACAATGCTGAATTCAAACAATCAACATCGATTGTCATTTAATTCGTAAATGCAATATACTTTTTAACTGCACAAGTATTGATTAATTCATTGATGACTATAAATTGTGCAAAATTAAATGAGAAATGTATTATGTCATAGAATAACACAGGGAATAAATAAAAAAAAATTGTTGATATATTAAGAATTTATAAGAGCAAAGTTTGACTTTTTAAAAAAAATAATATTAAAATTTTATTTCAAACTTCACACTTAATATACATTTAACACAATAGCAATTCAAATTCTTTGTTCATCAAGGATGACGATAAAGTAATAATTAACAAACAATTCAAATTCTTAGAATCATATTGTTCTGCGTCATGAAACAAGTGAACGATCTTTTTGTCAAAAAAATAGATAAAGGAAGCTTTTAACTTTCTGTTATATTTACTACAGATTTTAATTAATAATAAATACTTTTGTAACAGATCAACTATGTTTCTTACTTTTAATTACTTTTTAACATTAAAGTTTTCAGTAATTGACAAATGAATATAAATTGCTACATGTCTCAATATATTTTATCTGTCGACATTTCTGAACAACTCATGCTTATTCATAATTTTTTTATGGGTCGTTCACTTATGACGTCCAAAATTAACAGTCATTTTTCAAAAAAAAAACAATGGATTTTAAAGAATTTCTATTGTTCTGTTTTGCTGAACCCTCTCCCCCTCCCTTCCACCCCCTTGACGTTATAAGTGAATGGCCCCTAAAAAAGATTATGGGAAAAATAAACTCACAGTGATTCAACACTGTAAATATAAAATAAAATTTTAGGGATCATAGGGCGCACTCTAGTATAATTTTAATAGCTCAAATAATGTGAATGAAAGTTTAGAGATGCATTTTTATTTTTCAACCAAACAAGCTAAAAGCACCTTAAGTTAGGAATAGAATTCAATGAACTGCAATATAAAGCATGATTAAGTGTATTTGAGACTAGGTTTAGGGACTCATTTAGCACCAGAAACCATTCTCTGGTAATTTGTAAAAAAAAATTATTTTAGTCTTACTAAGTAAGCATATATAGAACAATTTGATACCACCAGACCAGATTTCATTGAAAATTTAAGTCGATATTGTCATCACGTAATAATCCAAGTTGAGTTTCTCCCATTAGAACCTCAACATTTTAAGTTAATCTGTCTAGAACCTGGTGAGCTGAATTGGCTTGGTGTTGGCAGTGGTTTAGGACTTCGGTACCTAATTATTACAGTACTGACACAGCAATCATGGGTTCGAGATTGGGTAGGGGAAATTTTTCACTTGTCCTTTTTCAATTCATATACATGGAAATGAGGCTCACAGCCTTCCTTTGTAGGCTACAGGCAGAAAGGTCATCAAAGGAGTGGTTCGGAACCAACTATAAATTGTAGGTAAATTGCGGTGCTTTGGCGCATCCTCACTCGTTAAACTTTCACTAATTGTGAAAGGCCTTAGCGCACCTCTGGATCACAATTGATCAGACCCGAAGGCTTTTTTCTGTCTAGAATCGCTAAATTATATTATGAGTAATCCAAACAAAGCTGAACAAAATTATCGAGTGTTTGCATTATTAGTCAAGTTTATTTCCATCAAGTCAGACGCTTAGTTATTAAGTCTAAATCTGTTCGATCACACGCATTTAAAAAAGTTTAACAAGAAAATAAAAAATTTTTTGAATTTTTTCTTATTTTTAAGATGATTTTAAGTTCGATATATATATTTTTTTTTTAAGTGCACGAATAATAATTAAATAAAAACTTTGTGCTAGATTTTCATGTGAAAAAAACAAGAAAATGTCTGAATTCCAATCTTATGATGTAAGTTCTGTCTATAAAGATGAACACAAAATAAGTAAAATAAGTAAAGATACATTAAAAATGCACAACGGTAAAGATAACAAAGAAACAAATTATTCTACTGATCAAAGTCATCTACACGGCCAGTCAGTGTCTATTTTGTCATTTACATCAGAAAATAAAATCATAATTAATGAGGAAGTTTTAAAGCAAACATTTGATCATCCAGAGCTACAGAATCGAAAAGTCGTTGTATTTTCAATTATTGGTGCATATAGGAAGGGAAAAAGCTTCTTTTTGGATTATTGCCTTAGATTTTTATATGCTCATGTAAGTTATTTATAGAAACATTAGAATCTTGGTTCAAATTAGAGTTGAGTCAAACTAAGTTGAACGTAACGTTTGGGGTTAGATGATTGGGATACAAATTTTATTTTATTTCTCAGTACTCGTCAATAAACTATCCCAAAAATTCAACATTAAATTCCAAAAAATGGATGGGCGATAAAAATGATCCTCTCACAGGCTTTTCATGGCGCTCAGGGTCAGCTCGTGATACAACTGGCATCATAATTTGGAATGATGTATTTCTTCATACAAACGAGGAAACAGACGAAAAAATTGCAATTGTAGTCATCGACACTCAAGGTCTTTTTGATAATGAAACCACAGCGATGGATAATTCGAGAATTTTTGCATTGGGAACTCTAATTTCATCAATACAAATTTTGAATTTGTCTGGAGTTCTTCAGGAAGATCAGCTGCAGTACTTGCAGTTTGCTACTGAATTTGCGAAATATGCAAAAATTGACAATAAATTGTCAGAAAAGCCTTTTCAAAATTTGATGTTTCTCATTAGGGATTGGGTGAGTTTTTTGTTATGATTTAAATCTTGTTTACAGAGATTAATTTAAATTTAAAAAAAACCTTTTTTGCAAAGGCACATGCTGATGAAAATGAATATGGGATCCAGGGTGGTGATGAATATTTAAAACAGTTTCTTAATACTAGAAGCGATCAAAATAAGGAATTAAAATCTGTTCGAGAATTTATTCATAGTTCATTTGATAAAATCGGCTGTTCATTGCTCCCTTATCCAGGTAATCATGATGTGTGATCAAAGGTTAAGTTGATTTTATACTCTTATCAAGGGAAAACTACTTAATCGGTAAAAATGGAAGTTTTCCACCAAAAATGGTAAAAAAGGTAAAATTTTCATTTTTACCATTTTTCTAATTTTACTTTTTTTACCATTTTTCCAATTTTTTTACCATTTTTTCCATTTTTCCCACTTTATGATGGGAAATTTTCCATAAAAAATGGGAAGAATGGGAAAAAATAGTAAATTTTCCATCAAAATTTTTAGCATCCAAGTAGTTTTCCCCCTGATTCTTATAGAGTACTACATCCTTTTTAATGATGATATAGCAATTTAACATATAATTCTATATTAAATGACAACTATATGTTTTAAAATTTTTAGGAGATTCAGTATTTGGAAATAAAAAGAAAAGCAAGAATGCAAATAAATACAATGGAAATTGGGGGGAAATGGACGAAGATTTTAAAGATGAGCTTTTTTCTCTTATTGAGTACCTACTCAAACCGGAAAGACTCGTTCTAAAAAAGATCAATGGAAAAGATCTTAAAGGATCTGAATTTTTGAAATATGTCCTTCAATATTTCAAGCTCTTCCAATCTGATAAACTTCCAAAAGCTCAATCAATTTATGAATCGACAGTTGAGAAGCAAATGAACATTTTGATTGAGCTATGCATTAACAGTTATAAAGAAACAATTCATTTTAATCAGGAAATAATAATTAATATTAATGAGATGGATAAATGTATCAAATTGCTTCCATTGTTGCATAAAATGAGTAAATGTCAAACATTACTAATGTACAATGAATCAAAGAAAATGGGAAGCTCTGAACATGAAGTAAAGTTTAAAGGAATTCTTATTGATCAAATCGAAAAGATTTACCAAGAATGGGAAGCTCAAATGAAAGAAAATATGGTGAAAATTGATAAAGAAAGGAAAAAAACTCAAAAAGCTTTAGAGGAAAAAAAGACACTGGAAATAGAAAAAATGTTTAATGAGAAAACTGCAGCCGAAAAACTTGTTGAATATGAAAAATTAAAAGCAGAAAAAGCACTTGAAAGTGAAAGGCTATTAAGGAAAAAGCAAGTTGAAGCAATAAAATTGGAAATTGAGAAAGAACGTCAAAATAAACTCGAATCTGTTAAAAAAGCTGAAGAGGCAATAAACAAGCAATTGGAAGCAGAATCTGAAGCAGAAGAATGGAAGAAAAAATATGAGGCAACGACAAAAAATAAAAGCTGTAATATTTTATAAACAAAAAAAATAATATTTAATAAAACGCATTTAAATTCCAATTATAGTCTTTATTTTAACAGCTGCAAATCTTTGATTATTTAAAAGCTAGGAATTCTATCCTCTGGACGTGTTGCAAGATACTTTTTGACTCCCTCAGATGCCATTACTTTTTCATAAACCTTCTTCAAGCTTGGATAATTAGCAATTAAATCACTTCCCATAAGAACATTACAATATTCCATAACAGCGATTGCATAAACATCAGCCCAAGTAATATTCCTTAATGCCAAATGTCCGTCATTTTCTTTTGCTTTTTGTTCAAGTTTTTCCAAATAAAATGGAATCACTTCGTTTACGAGTTTTTCATACTTTTCATCCTTAACTTGCTTGTCAAAGTAGTACCACATGGCAATCTCTATAAAATAAAAAAAAACATGTCTAAATAATTTTTCTGTGGATTCTGGGTCTTGATTTTGTAGCAACGGCCATAAGAGGCCGTTCACTTATAACCAGAGATCGAAGCCTATTTTTACGGCTTAAGTCAATTTTTGATTTTTTTGATAGAGAAAAGCCATTTAACACCCATTTCAAGCATTTAAATGGAACTTTACATGCTTTACTATGATTTTGTGTATTTAGCCCATGCTAAGCCGATTCCTACTCATAAAACTGTCACAGATGTTAAAAACCCTCCTCCTCCTCCCCTTTCCCCCCCCCCCCCCCTTGTGACGTTCAATCATAGACACAAAAAAATACAATTTTTTCACAAAAAAAAAATAAATGTCACAAATTTCCTGACCCCCCTTTTTTCCCCTGTCACGATGTGTCACAAATTTTTAGAACCCTCTCTCCCCTAAATTTAGGGCGTCATAAGTAAACGAAACCTAATTGATTTGGTGCATCACTAAAGTAATCTAGAGGTTTTAAAAAACCAAAACTATCAATTTTGAGAAAAAAAATTTATAATTTTTATCTCGTTATCACATATCAGACTCTTGAAATTAAAAACTGTAGATAACAAATTGAAATAAATTGTTTTTCAAACACACATCTTTTCAAAACCCTAAAGTACTTACTTAACTTTTCTGTATGGACAATATATTTACTTACTTCCACGGAATTCATTAACAGTCTCAGCAGCACAATCAATTTTATAGTTTTCTAATGCATTTTGTCCAGCAAGATTAAATTTGTTGCCAAGATATCGGCAAATTGGAATGCAATGATGAAAAACTTCCCCATCAGCTTCAAGTACTGGCATTTGTCCGAGAGGCATTGCTATTAAAAAAATCATCAGATTAATCTAATTACAATCTTATGCCACTTCGGGGTCATTCATTTATGACGTGCGAAATTAACGGTTATTTTTCATAAAAGAACAATCGATTTCCTGGAATTTATATTCTTCTTTTTTTGATGACCCCCCAGACGTCATAAATGAACGGCCCCATAACAATTAATGAATGTCATGATTGGATTTCGACAATCTTACTAGGTTTTAAGTTGTTCCAGTCCTCCCACTCAATACGATTGTCAACAAATTCTACATTTCCATAAGCAAGCATAAACCTGACTGGTTCGCCAAGGCCCTTGAATGTAAAGTAGTTAATTTTATATGACATCGCAATTAAAATGAGTTTTTTGGTTGAAAAATTTAAAGATCAACGCCAAACGAACGCCGGCACAATACTAAATGAAATAAATGAAAATGTTCATTTAATATTATGTCGGTGTTGGTATGTATTTGTGATTTTATGCTTGTTATCTTTTTCACTTATACATTCAATATGTGTTGATGTATAGAATTAAATTCAATTTGATGATTTTTATGAATGGAAACGAAAATAAATATAAGAGATTTAAGAGTAGACATTATTAGATGATTTAAGTGTGAATAAAAGCAGATTACAAAGCAAATGATTCGACTATATTCTCAAGGTTAGGGCGGCAAATCATGATTCTGGCTCTCACATCATGCGAATGCAGAACTTTTCTTCTAATCATTGTAATAATAACAAAAGCAAGTAAACAGACACAAGTTACATCTAATGAACCATGACCTTGCATATCAGCTTTTATTCGAAATATTTTATTGAATTTTACATAACACTACATTTGGGTTTTGGAACATGAAAATTAATTCCCAGTTCTTTGATATGAATTTTGAGTCTTCGACTTTCTTCGTCTCGTTTCCTTTGTTCCTCTTCGAGTCGCCTTCTTTCTTCTTCAATTTGCTGCTGTCTTTCTCGTTCTCTACGAAGTGATTCTTCAGCATCCTTTTGTCTTTGTAGTTCCTCTTTAATTTGCTGGTTTTTGAGTCTTAATTCTTCTTGTTGTCTTGCAATTTCTCTTTCATGTTCCTCAAGTTGTCTTTGCAATTCTTCAACATTTCTTTTATTTTCTAATTCTTCCTCCTTCTTACGAATTCTTTCAATTTCATCTGCAGCTTCTTTGGCATTTCGCTGCTCTTCCTCAATTTGAACAAAATGAATTTGCATCAAATTTTTCCACTCAAATTCACGTTTTTGTATTTTTTGCTCCAAATTTTTTTTAAATTTTTCTGAATCTTGAGCATTTCCCATCTTTTTGGCGTCAGTGAATGCTTCAAGAGCTTTTGACAGTGCAAAACTATGAATTAAATTTATTTCGTTTCTATCACTAGGATTTCTTAAGTGGTGTTCGTAGACTTCATAACATTTAGTGACAATTTGAGTCAGAAATTTTCCAACTGCTAGTTCATATAGTGATTTAGGCTTAGGGATGCTTCCAGGTGTTGAAAATAAATTTATATAACTTTTAATATATTCAAAAAGTTCGTGTGCCTTCAAGTCAACTCCTTCGACTTTCTTTACAACCATATTTTGTGGTTTAAAGAAACTTTCAATCAAATTTTTAATTTCTTTCATAAAATCCTCATCCATTAAACTCCATCGGCCATCATAGTCACTAGACGATGCCACTTTCTTTCCTGGATATGGCATCAAGTAGCACAAAAGCTTATCAAATGACTCACGGATGTGGTCACGAACAGTTCGAAGATCATCATTTTGGTCATTATTTGTTTTAAGCACTTCATTGAGATAAGCTTGACCGCCATTAAATCCAAACTCATAATCATCAACATTTTGCCAGTCACGAACAAGAAAAAGAAATTTTTGGAATGGCTTGATGTCGGTTTGTGGTGATGATGTTCGGAAAAATTTCGCATACTCAGTTGTGAATTGTAAATACTGAAGTTGATCTTCCTGAATGATGTTTGTTAAATTGAGGATCAATGTTGATGAAAAAAGTGTTCCAAGTGATAAAATTTTCATATTTTCTTCTGTGCTAGTCTCAGGATCAAAAAGACCTTGGGTATCGACTAACAATACTGCCAATGGATCACCATTTGGTGGATCATAAAGGAATACGTCAGACCAGAATGAAATACCTGTTGAATCACGTGATGAACCAGATCGCCAAGAGAATCCTTTGAGTGGTTCTTCAGCGTCTCCTATCCAATTGTCTTTATATTGAAGAGGATTGTTTAGGAAATTTATTGATCTGTACTGAAATATCGAAAAGAAATAAATAAATTCATGTTTTCAAATTATTGTTTTTAAAACTTACATTTGCATACATAAATCTCAAACAATAATCCATAAAAAAGCTTTTTCCTCTACGATATGAACCAACAATAGCAAAAATTGCAACTTCGCGGTCCTTAACATCAGGATGAAGAAAAATTTCACTTAATTGTTCTTCTTCAAAAATTATTTGATTATTTAAAAATTTTATTGCATTTTTTGCTTCACCGTATGGATGACTTGATGACATTTTTCCACAATGTTATTAAATAAATGAAAATATGTTTAAAATTATGAAGTCTTTAATCTCAATGTCATTTATAAACTGAACTACAAAATAAATAATATCAGATCTTTTATTTCCTAATTAAAACCACAAATTTGATTGAATTCCCCATTTAGTTAAAAATGTATTTTGTGGTGACTATTCAATTGGCAAGTAGTTTATCACTTTTACACGTTTTCTCAAACATTTGGATTACGATTGCCACAAAAGATTAAGTTAGATTCTTTATGTGACATTTAAAGATTTTTAAATCCATTATTAAACCATTATTTATTAAGTTTTTTACATTTTAATTGCACTTTTTTTGCATTTATTGATGGCATACATAAAATCTAGGTTTCAAATAATTTTAGGCTCTCGTTTCAATCTTCTGTGGGCGTTACGTGATACATTTCAGTCCCGTTCTGACAATATTTCTATTTCTCTTGCTACACTTCAAGTTCCTGATCCGTTTCTTAATTCAAAGTTGTCCAAATGCCCAATTATGACTCAATCTCGTACATTAAGCATTCAAAATATCTAAACTTCTGAAAAAGAACAAATTTGGAAAACGCTGGATTCGAGCTGACGACCTTCGAGTTACCATACCAAATTTGAGCCAAGCTCCTTACCTATTTGATTAGCAAGGCACTTAACTGCTTTAGTAGTAATTTTATCTATTATCAAACAAATATTTGTGGTTTTGATTAATCCAAAAAACTTTCAAATGTGGTTATTTTCATTAAGTTCCGATTTATATAGCTTTTATTCAAATAAAGTATTTTTATATTATTGACTATAAATAGATGAATGTTATTATTTCTACTTATTAATAATCTATAGTGCTTTCATATTGATTATTTTAAAACTTAACTACTAAGTTTTGACTTTACTATACAATAAGCAGAAGATATTAATAAAAAAATGATTCACTCATTTGGAAATCCAGAAAACGTTTTACATTTTTCTGAAGATGACTCAGTTTTTTTCAATGAAGATAAACTTAGGAAAATATTTGAACATCCTGATGTGATAAATCGTAAAATTGTTGCATTTTCAATCATCGGTGCTTATAGAAAAGGAAAAAGCTTCTTTTTGGACTACTGTTTGAGATTTTTATATGGAAATGTAAGTTGCTGATCTCTTGATCGTTTTTTAAGTTATTTAAATGTAATATGTATCTGCTCAGCATATCTTCTTAAGAATCAGTTATTGAAAATGAAAATGATTTCAGTTCAAATCAATAAACTACCCAAACAATCCAGTTGAATGCTCAGACGATTGGCCTGGTTTAGAAGATGAACCGCTTACAGGATTTTCATGGCGTTCAGGCACAACTCGTGACACAACAGGCATTGTCATGTGGAATGATATTTTCCTTCATACAATTGAAGAATCTGGTGAAGAAATAGCGATTGTTGTCATAGACACACAAGGACTTTTTGATAATGAAACATCATCGAAAAATAATTCTAAAATATTTGCACTGTCATCATTACTTTCATCAATTCAGGTTTTAAATTTATCAGGTGTCATACAAGAAGATCAATTACAGTACTTACAATTTGCAACTGAATATGCGAAATTTGCTGCTAATGACAACCATGCTGGATCTGGAAAACCATTTCAGAAGTTGTTGTTTTTGATCAGAGATTGGGTAAGATCAAAAATTTTAATTCAGTAATTTCTAAAGTATATACTTCTATTTAGGCAAATCCAGATGAATATTCATTTGGAATGGAAGGTGGTAAAAGTTATTTGGAAGATTTCTTAAAACTCAAGAATGGACAAAAAGAAGTATTAAAGTCAGTTAGGCAATTTATTCATAATTCATTTGAAGAACTTTGTTGTGCACTATTCCCACATCCAGGTTAGACTTTAAGAAATTAATTTTAATCTACAAATAAATTAAACTTTTATATATTTGGTTTAAAACAGGAAAGGCAGTGTCCGGTAGAGCACAAGTTAAGAAATATGATGGGAATTGGGGTGCAATGGATGAAGATTTCAAAATTGAACTTTTTAATTTAATCGAATATCTTTTAAAACCTGAAAGGCTTATACTAAAGAAAATAAACGGAAAAGATCTTCATGGATTTGAATTTTTAGAGTATATCCTACAATATTTCAAACTCTTCCAATCTGATCAACTTCCAAAAGCTCAGTCAATTTATGAGTCAACAGTTGAGAAACAAATGAATATTTTAGTTGAATTTTGTGTTGAAATTTATAAGAAAACTGTTTTTATGAACCAAGATGTGATCAAAAATTCAAGACAAATTTTACTTTTTCACAATGGAAGTGAGAACAAAGCACTATCCATATATAAGAATTCAAAGAAAATGGGAACTTTAGAACATTATGAGAAATTCAAATTAATACTCAAAGTAAAAATTGGTGAAGCTTTTAAAGAATGGAAAGAGTCTGTAGATAAAAGGATTCAAATTATAGAAATGGAAAAAGAAATTGCTCGATTAGAACAAGATCAGCAACATCAAGTTAATTTACAGAAAAAAGAAAATGAAATGAGAGCAGAAGAAGAAAAATTGAGACAGGAAAGACTTAAAGCTGAGAGAGAACTTCAACTGCAAAAGGCTGAAAGGATTCGGGCTGTTGAAGAAGAAAGATCGAAAATTGCTGAAGAAAATAGAAAACAGGAAGAGCAATTTAGTAAATATCGGAACTTATTTTTTATAAATACTTGAGAAAAAAATTAAATTAAATTAAATTATTCAATATTTATTGTACTTTAGTTCACTTATTTGACCCTATTCAGTATAAGTGGATAACTGCTGAGGAATGAATTGAAAATCTAAAAATAAATTTCTCTTGCTTGAGCTGTCACAAAATCCTTGAATTACTCCTCCTCCTCCACCCCCCTTACAAACGTCAGACGTCATTAATGAACGACCCTTAATCACAATAAATTAATTTATTTTTTTCAATAGAAACTTTACGAACGGATGGCATTTGGGTAGACTGGAATACTTATAAAAGCGGCATTCCTGAGTTTGCGGTTGTCGGTGGCAGCGATAGTAATGGTTATTATTATGTCATTAGAGCAAATCATGATAATGAAATGATTGTTGGGAAATACTGCCCACAATTAAAGAAAGCGTTTATACCGTACGGTGGTAAAGAATATGAAAAGCCATATTTTGAGGTAAGAATGCATAAACAAGTAAATGTAACTGCCTTTATAGCTGTCATGTAATCAAGATTCTAATTTAAAAATCAATCGGCAAACAAAATTTATTATCTGTAATTTTTTACCAATAGGTTCTTACTCATTCTCGTTATATCTGGATGAATAAGTCACATGGTACTAGTAGAAAAATACTTGGAGGATATGATAAGTTGGGAAATAAAATTTATGTTATTCAGGCGCTCCATAATGGAAATTTTTACCCAGGAAAGCTGCATCATAATGAAGCTTATATATCTCATGGTGGATATGAATACAAAAAATCTAGTTATTCTATCTTAGAAGTTGTAAATGTTGAAGGATATTGAAATTCTGTCTTTAATCATTTAATAAAAATTAAAACTTTATTACAATTACTAATGAATATAAGATTTTTGAATATTATAAGTTTTCCCATATTATGTTAACTTGTTTTTCAACGGACTATTTGATTTTACAATAATCATAAACACTTTAAAATTCTATAAATAGTGTGTTGCAAGTCAGGAAAAAGTCATTAGTAATTTTAGAGTGGCGAAATTTATCTAACCACAATACATTCATCACAAAAATAATTTCAATTTTTCCAAATTTTATAATTTGGCAATGTAGAAATTGCGAATATTGGGTTTCTTTTTGAATGATATCACAGAGAATTTCCGAATTCAAACCTTTTTTTAGCACATTTTTGTATACTTGTATACAAAATGGTGCTTAATAATGTGAAATGTTCGTTCGGTGGCTTGTTCGTCTGAAGAAAAACTTTTTAACCAGACATCGTAGAGAGCTCAGGTTTGATTAATTAGATCAGCTTTATCGAGTTATTGGCCGATCAAATAGTAAGAAAGCTTAAAACAATGGCTTTGCACTATAATTAATGATTTTTTATTCAATATAGTGCAACCTGTCCAAATTTTTTTTCATAGAGTGGAACTTGTTCAAATTTGACTCCCTCTATAATTTCAACTTTAAAAAAACCGTTAAACGAAAAATTTTTTCTTTCATTGCAATAAATTATTAACTTTACTTTAATTAATCTGTAAATGAACGCAAAATAATTAGATAATCAAATACTGATCGCTGCGTCAAAAATGCGCTGAAGTCCCTCGATCAATAACACGAGGACTTTTGTAATTTTTTTTAGCTCATTACCAATTAAAAAATATTTCAAATTTCCCAACCTCAACAATTTCTCATTCCAATATCTATAAAATATTGAAATTAATATTATCGACTTATCAATTGTACTGTGAATTTTGAATCGTTCACTAGTCGTTCTGTAGTTAAACAGTTTTTGAAGTTGTCAGTCATTAGCGAACCAAAAGAAAATATTCAAAATGGGTCACGATCATCCTCATGGTAAACCTGAAAATGTATTGAAATTTTCTCAAGATAACAAAGTTATTGTGGACGAGGGTCCATTAAAGAAAATGTTTGAGCATCCTGATGTTAAGAATCGTAAAATTGTTGCGTTTTCAATCATTGGAGCTTACAGAAAAGGAAAGAGCTTCTTTTTGGATTATTGCTTGCGATTTTTGTATGCAAATGTGAGTAATTCTAGTGATTTATGATAAGCATTTAAGTAAGCTATAAGATACTTAAGAAATGTTAATTCAAAATTTAAGTTCCCATCAATCAACTACCCAAACAATCCAGTTGAAAGCCCAGATGATTGGCCTGGTTCAGAAGATGAACCACTCGCTGGATTTTCATGGCGTTCAGGCTCAACTCGCGACACAACAGGCATTGTCATGTGGAATGATATTTTCCTACATACAATCGAGACAAATGGAGAAAAAATTGCAATTGTTGTCATGGACACACAAGGACTTTTTGACAATGAGACATCACCAATGGATAATTCAAGAATTTTCGCCCTTGGAACTTTAATATCATCAATTCAAGTGCTTAATTTGTCTGGAGTTGTACAAGAAGATCAATTGCAGTATTTGCAGTTTGCAACAGAATTTGCTAAATTTGCCGCTGACGATAGTCATGGATCATCTGGAAAACCATTTCAAAATTTAATATTCCTTATCAGAGATTGGGTTAGTTTGTGGTTTTTTTTTGAATAATTGTGGTTATTTTATTTATTTTTCATGTTTAATTAGTCAAATCCCGACGATCATGCATTCGGAACTGAAGGTGGTGAATCTTACTTAAAATATTTCTTAAAAGTCAAGAGTGGACAAAAAGAGGAATTGAAATCAGTTCGACAATTTATTCATAGTTCGTTTGAGGAAATAAGCTGTGCATTGCTTCCACATCCAGGTAAATTATCCTAAAATCTATAAGCTAAATTTAAAGTTTTAATCTTTAACTAACAGGAAAGAGTGTCGCTGGAGGTGGTAGAAATATCCAGCAAAATAAAAAATATGACGGAAATTGGGGTGCAATGGATGAAGATTTTAAAATCGAACTTTTTAATCTCATTGAGAATCTTTTGAAGACTGAGAGACTAGTCATGAAAAAGATTAATGGAAAAGACCTTAAAGGATCTGAGTTTTTGGAGTATGTTCAGCAATATTTTAAGCTTTTTCAATCTGATAAATTACCGCAAGCACAGTCAATCTATGAATCAACAGTTGAAAAACAAATGAACATTTTGATTGGACTTTGCATTGATAATTATAAAGAAACGGTTTATAAGAATCAAGACTTAATCTCAAATATATCTCAAATACCAGTTTTCCATAACATGAGTAAAAATCAAGCGTTGCTCATTTACAAAGAATCTAAAAAAATGGGTAATTCAGATCATGAGACAAAATTTAAAAAAGAGCTTTCCAAACAAATTGACAAACTGTTCAGTGAGTGGAAAAACCGCTCTGAAGCAAATATCAAAAAAATTGAAGAAGAAAAGGAAAAAACGCTTAAAGCTCTTGAAGAGAAGCAAAAACTTCAACTTGAGCAAATCGAAAATGAAAGGAAAGCTGCAGAAAAACTTCGCGAACTTGAGAGTCTTAAGTCTGCAAAGGCAATTGAACACGAGAAATATTTGAAGGAAAAGGAAATTGCTAAAGCAAGATTAGAAGCGGAACAGCTTCGTTCTCAAAATGCAGAATTTGAAAAGCAAAAAGCAGAAGCATTTAGGAAGGAACTGGAAGCTAGATTGGAAAATGAACGATTAAGAAATGAACTCGATAAAAAGTCTAAAAGATGGTGTACTGTAATGTAAAGTTTATTGTGTATTCATGAACAATTTATAATTTGATGAGGTAATAATAAAGTTCAAAGATCCTTTAGCTCAATTTCTTGGTCTATGCAATAGTAACTGGTCTTTTTTCAACCCAATTTTTAATTTTTTCAATGGCCAAAACTTTATCCTTTAAACTTTTTAAATTTTCATATTTGTCAACAAAGTTTGCATCATGTTTTAGCTCAGCCCAGGTAAATAATCCTTGGAAGTATTCAGAAAGAGATGTGAAATAAAGGTCCACCCAGGTCAACTTGCCATTTACAAAATATCCATTATTATCTGCAACAATTCCATCAAATAATGTTAAGGCTGTTGGAATAATATCATTGATGAGCTTGTTGACTTCCTTCTCATAGTGTTCCTTTCCAAATGCATCTTTGTAGTAGTAAGTAATATCTTCACATTCTAGAATTATATAAATGAGTAATTAAGTTCAGAGATACAAAATTAAAGGAATATCTAACAACATACATGTTGCCATACTTACTTCCAATTAAGTCATAAATAAATAATGCGGCAGTTTGGATTTGCATTTTCTCAATTTCATTAGATCCAGCGAGATTGAACTTTTCGCCCAGGAAGTTGCAAATGGCAATTGTATGTGAATATTTTTCTCCATCAACTTCGAGGACTGGAACTTTGCCGAATGGCATTGCTGTAAAAATTATCAGTTGATTACAATTAATTCTAGAACATTCGAATTTACCTTACTTGGCTTAATTTTCGGCCAAACATCTTCCTCAAATCGTATATCATCAAAATTAACTCCACCATAGCTTAATAAAAACCGAATTGCTTCAGCACGAGCACGAAAGTCAAAGTAATGGACTTTATAGCTTGTCATAATTTAAAATAACAATTGAAATTATATTTACAAATTAATAAATTTTTTGAACGCTCTCGAACACCGAAAAATATCTTAAAACTCTCTGTGGCTGTATTTGTCAAAAATACTAATACAAACGTAATTTTGGTGGATAGTTCATGAGGAACTAATACATTCAAAATGTATATAAAAATTATGCGTATTTATATCAACGCATTGGAGTTTTTTCATTCTTGTAATTTATGGTTTTCAGAACAAATGTTGTCATGTGCTGCACAGGTCTAAATCAAGGCTTCTACTAACTCAATATAATCCACTTTTTAAAGATAATTGGCTCATAATTAATTTTATTTCTGATGCACTTTTAACAATGTTTTGATTGCTTGCTGGGAGGAGCTGATGAGAAATTTACAATAATTTCAAAAATTTCCATAATGTTGTCTTCCTCTTAATTAAGAACTAGATTTTGACTTATTCCACACTTATTCCGCACTAAGAAATTGAATTTGGCTTATTCTGAACTAAATCTGAATTAAGAACTTGATTTTGACTTATTCCACACTTATTCCGCAATAAGAACTTGAATTTGACTTGTTTTGCACTTAATCTGAATTAAGAACTAGATTTTGACTTATTCCACACTTATTCCGCACTAGGAACTTGAATTTGACTAGTTTTGCACTTAATCTGAATTAAGAACTAGATTTTGACTTATTCCACACTTATTTCACACTAAGAACTTGAACTTGACTTGTTTTGCACTTAATCTGAATTAAGAACTAGATTTTGACTTATTCCACACTTATTCCGCACTAGGAACTTGAATTTGACTAGTTTTGCACTTAATCTGAATTAAGAACTAGATTTTGACTTATTCCACACTTATTCCGCACTAAGAACTTGAATTAGGCTTATTCTGCACTAAATTTGAATTAAGAACTGATTTTGACTTATTCCACACTTATTCCGCACTAAGAACTTGAATTTGACTTATACCGCACTTAATCTGAATTAAGAACTAGATTTTGACTTATTCCACACTTATTTCACACTAAGAACTTGAATTTGACTAGTTTTGCACTTAATCTGAATTAAGAACTAGATTTTGACTTATTCCACACTTATTTCGCACTAAGAACTTGAATTTGACTTATACCGCACTTAATCTGAATTAAGAACTAGATTTTGACTTATTCCACACTTATTTCACACTAAGAACTTGAATTTGACTTGTTTTGCACTTAATCTGAATTAAGAACTAGATTTTGACTTATTCCACACTTATTCCGAACTAGGAACTTGAATTTGACTAGTTTTGCACTTAATCTAAATTAAGAACTAGATTTTGATTTATTCCACACTTATTTCGCACTTAAAACTTGAATTTGACTTATTCTGCACTTAATCTGAATTAAGAACTAGATTTTGACTTATTCCACACTTATTTCGCACTAAGAACTTGAATTTGACTTGTTTTGCACTTAATCTGAATTAAGAACTAGATTTTGACTTATTCCACACTTATTCCGCACTAAGAACTTGAATTTGACTTATACCGCACTTAATCTGAATTAAGAACTAGATTTTGACTTGCTCCACACTTATTTCACACTAAGAACTTGAATTTGACTTATACCGCACTTAATCTGAATTAAGAACTAGATTTTGACTTATTCCACACTTATTTCACACTAAGAACTTGAATTTGACTTGTTTTGCACTTAGTCTGAATTAAGAACTAGATTTTTACTTATTCCACACTTATTCCGCACTAAGAACTTGAATTTGACTTCTTTTGCACTTAATCTGAATTAAGAACTAGATTTTGACTTATTCCACACTTATTTCACACTAAGAACTTGAATTTGACTTGTTTTGCACTTAATCTGAATTAAGAACTAGATTTTGACTTATTCCACACTTATTCCGCACTAAGAACTTGAATTTGACTTATTTTGCACTTAATCTGAATTAAGAACTAGATTTTGACTTATTCCACACTTATTCCGCACTAAGAACTTGAATTTGACTTATACCGCACTTAATCTGAATTAAGAACTAGATTTTGACTTATTCCACACTTATTCCGCACTAGGAACTTGAATTTGACTTATACCGCACTTAATCTGAATTAAGAACTAGATTTTGACTTATTCCACACTTATTTCACACTAAGAACTTGAATTTGACTTGTTTTGCACTTAATCTGAATTAAGAACTAAATTTTGACTTATTCCACACTTATTCCGCACTAAGAACTTGAATTTGACTTGTTTTGCACTTAATCTGAATTAAGAACTAGATTTTGACTTATTCCACACTTATTCTGCACTAAGAACTTGAATTTGACTTATACCGCACTTAATCTGAATTAAGAACTAGATTTTGACTTATTCCACACTTATTTCACACTAAGAACTTGAATTTGACTTGTTTTGCACTTAATCTGAATTAAGAACTAGATTTTGACTTATTCCACACTTATTTCGCACTAGGAACTTGAATTTGACTTGTTTTGCACTTAATCTGAATTAAGAACTAGATTTTGACTTATTCCACACTTATTTCACACTAAGAACTTGAATTTGACTTGTTTTTCACTTAATCTGAATTAAGAACTAGATTTTGACTTATTCCACACTTATTCTGCACTAAGAACTTGAATTTGACTTATACCGCACTTAATCTGAATTAAGAACTAGATTTTGACTTATTTCACACTTATTTCACACTAAGAACTTGAATTTGACTTGTTTTGCACTTAATCTGAATTAAGAACTAGATTTTGACTTATTCCACACTTATTCCGAACTAGGAACTTGAATTTGACTTGTTTTGCACTTAATCTGAATTAAGAACTAGATTTTGATTTATTCCACACTTATTTCGCACTTAAAACTTGAATTTGACTTATACCGCACTTAATCTGAATTAAGAACTAGATTTTGACTTATTCCACACTTATTTCACACTAAGAACTTGAATTTGACTAGTTTTGCACTTAATCTGAATTAAGAACTAGATTTTGACTTATTCCACACTTATTTCGCACTAAGAACTTGATTTTGACTTATACCGCACTTAATCTGAATTAAGAACTAGATTTTGACTTATTCCACACTTATTTCACACTAAGAACTTGAATTTGACTTGTTTTGCACTTAATCTGAATTAAGAACTAGATTTTGACTTATTCCACACTTATTCCGAACTAGGAACTTGAATTTGACTAGTTTTGCACTTAATCTGAATTAAGAACTAGATTTTGATTTATTCCACACTTATTTCGCACTTAAAACTTGAATTTGACTTATTCTGCACTTAATCTGAATTAAGAACTAGATTTTGACTTATTCCACACTTATTTCGCACTAAGAACTTGAATTTGACTTGTTTTGCACTTAATCTGAATTAAGAACTAGATTTTGACTTATTCCACACTTATTCCGCACTAAGAACTTGAATTTGACTTATACCGCACTTAATCTGAATTAAGAACTAGATTTTGACTTGCTCCACACTTATTTCACACTAAGAACTTGAATTTGACTTATACCGCACTTAATCTGAATTAAGAACTAGATTTTGACTTATTCCACACTTATTTCACACTAAGAACTTGAATTTGACTTGTTTTGCACTTAGTCTGAATTAAGAACTAGATTTTTACTTATTCCACACTTATTCCGCACTAAGAACTTGAATTTGACTTCTTTTGCACTTAATCTGAATTAAGAACTAGATTTTGACTTATTCCACACTTATTTCACACTAAGAACTTGAATTTGACTTGTTTTGCACTTAATCTGAATTAAGAACTAGATTTTGACTTATTCCACACTTATTCCGCACTAAGAACTTGAATTTGACTTATTCTGCACTTAATCTGAATTAAGAACTAGATTTTGACTTATTCCACACTTATTCCGCACTAAGAACTTGAATTTGACTTATACCGCACTTAATCTGAATTAAGAACTAGATTTTGACTTATTCCACACTTATTCCGCACTAGGAACTTGAATTTGACTTATACCGCACTTAATCTGAATTAAGAACTAGATTTTGACTTATTCCACACTTATTTCACACTAAGAACTTGAATTTGACTTGTTTTGCACTTAATCTGAATTAAGAACTAAATTTTGACTTATTCCACACTTATTCCGCACTAAGAACTTGAATTTGACTTGTTTTGCACTTAATCTGAATTAAGAACTAGATTTTGACTTATTCCACACTTATTCTGCACTAAGAACTTGAATTTGACTTATACCGCACTTAATCTGAATTAAGAACTAGATTTTGACTTATTCCACACTTATTTCACACTAAGAACTTGAATTTGACTTGTTTTGCACTTAATCTGAATTAAGAACTAGATTTTGACTTATTCCACACTTATTTCGCACTAGGAACTTGAATTTGACTTGTTTTGCACTTAATCTGAATTAAGAACTAGATTTTGACTTATTCCACAGTTATTTCACACTAAGAACTTGAATTTGACTTGTTTTTCACTTAATCTGAATTAAGAACTAGATTTTGACTTATTCCACACTTATTACGCACTAAGAACTTGAATTTGACTTGTTCTGCACTTAATCTGAATTAAGAACTAGATTTTGACTTATTCCACACTTATTCCGCACTAAGAACTTGAATTTGACTTCTTTTGCACTTAATCTGAATTAAGAACTAGATTTTGACTTATTCCACACTTATTTCACACTAAGAACTTGAATTTGACTTGTTTTGCACTTAATCTGAATTAAGAACTAGATTTTGACTTATTCCACACTTATTCCGCACTAGGAACTTGAATTTGACTAGTTTTGCACTTAATCTGAATTAAGAACTAGATTTTGACTTATTCCACACTTATTCCGCACCAAGAACTTGAATTAGGCTTATTCTGCACTAAATTTGAATTAAGAACTGATTTTGACTTATTCCACACTTATTCCGCACTAAGAACTTGAATTTGGCTTATTCTGCACTAAATCTGAATTAAGAAC